AGGGGCTGTGTGAGAAGCTCAAAGATGCTTATCCAAGAATATCCACAATTACAGCTCCTCTTCTCCAAAGGAGCAGCTGTGACCATCGCTGGCGTGTGGTCCAGGAGCGAGAACGTCTCCTCATCCTTACTTGGAGCCCATCCAGGATCACTGTTGGCTGCTGTTACCTTTCATGGGGTTGCTCAGAGGATTGGTCCCGCTTTTGGTAGGATTTGTCCCTTCCCAGGGATAACTGCACACCACCAGCCCACTGCTAGAAGAAAGTGACACCAGCATTTCAAAGCAGGTTTCAGAGAGGATCTCTGATTACCATGCAGGGCTGAGAAGGGTCCTGGGGCCACCAGAAGCCCCCAGCCCAGCTGCAGATCTGCAGTGACCTTGGAAGGACCCTCCACCATAGATAGACCTGACTCCTTTGGGTGCCTCAGCCCCGAATCACATGGAGCAACCTCTGTTTCCAACAGGGAGATCTCCATCCCCATCCTCTTAGCAGCACAAAGCTCTTTTGCTTGCAAATCAGTGCAGTATGGCATTGTAGGAGACCTCTCTCTGACCACACCAGGACCAGAGTGGTACTGGGACCCCAGACTGGGGGGTTTTCCTGCCTTCCTGATGTCTTGGGGCAGTCTGAATTAATTCTGCTGGACCTCAGTGGGTGTGGGGAGCTTGAGGACCTTTTTTCCAAGACACGTGTTATCCCTACCTCCGCGCTGCGCCTGGGACCGTCCTACCACATCCTGGAAGAAGTTTCCCAAAATTTCAACCTTCCAGGGGTTTCCCTGCCTGCACGGAAGGACAAAAGTCCCCAGAGATGGGAGACCAGGCAGAGGGTAGACCAGTGTGAGCGGACAAGTCTGTTCCTGATGCTCATGGGGTTTACAAGCACTGCCGTGGGGCAAAATCCCACCAAGGTGCTGCTCCAGCCCCACTCTTCGAATGGAAGCACATTAATTGGGATAACGCTGCCGATTAACGCTGAAAACCCCAAAAGGGATCCTTAGGGGGCATAAAAACCTTTGCATTTATATTATCCTTGCACCAAGTGCCTCCTACCTGGAGGAGCAGAGGGAAAACGTGTCTGCGTGATCCTACAAAGTCCCGGAGTCGGCGACAGCCCCGTTTTCGGGTGACTCTCACCAGGCTGTCAGGTTCAGACGTTGGTTTTTCTCCCCCCATCCCCCCCCCCTTTTTTTTTTTTTTTTTTTGCCTTCTGAATGGGGAGAGGCACCGCAGCCCCGTGACGTTACCAGCTCCCTCTGATTTCATTTTAATGAAATCATGCCCAAACGAAGGCTCCACGTCTGGAGTTACGACTCAAACCCCGTGATCGCTCATTTTTATATATACACGAGGGAGGGGAAAAGCGTTTCCATAGAGAGAAAAACTACCACAGCCCTCTTAATAACAATAAAAGAAAAGCCAGGGTGCAGAAGTTCGGGGGAACGCGCCTGATGCCTCTCTCCTCGGAGTGAGACCGCAGCAGCCCCTTCCCATCCCGACCACCGAGGACTACCAGGTGAGTGCCTGGATTTCATTTATTAACCAGCAGCCGGCTTCATTTGCACAAACTTTAAATATTTCAGTGTTTTCCTTGGGAGATCAGGTTCCAAGTTCCTCTGCAAGAAAAAAAAAAATGAAAAAAAAAAAGGCAGGATAGGGAAAAGCAGTTCAAAATGTGGCGTTAAGGGATTCCCCTCACCATCCCTCCTAAGCAAAGAAATATCTTTTTTATTTTTGTAACAATTTGGGGAGGTAAGGCAGGCTGGGCAGCATGGGAAGGCTTGGAAAATGTTGGGAAAACTAAAAGTAGGGATACGAATCACCGCTGCGGTTAGAGGGATGGGGAGGAGAGGAGGGCACAGCCCCATCCCCGCTGGGTCAGCTTGAATTTCGGAGCCCTGGGAATCAGCATCATCCGGAGAGATTCATTAGGAAAGTGGAGGCGGCATCGGGTGGAGTTTAAAAACTCCACAGGTCTCATCCGGAGTATTATTTTATTCCAGACTTACTTTTTGATGGGGAAAAAAAATAGCTCAATCCAGTGCTTCCGCCGCCGAGGAGCCCGTGATAACCAGCGAGTAGCTTTGTCTGCCCAGTTTGCCGGAGCTGCCTTGCTGGGGTGATTTATTTTTCTCTTTTAAAGCCAAGAGGCAGATCTTCAGGCGTTACAAATGGTCCTGCCGTGGCTGTCGGTGCCTGTAAATTGCTCACAAAGCATCCCGTTTCCACCCAGATTTCCACCCAGATTTCCACCCACGGCGAGTGGCACTCGCAGGTCACCCTCCAGCAGCAGCAGATTTAACTCCGAGTTCCTCAGATCCACTGCAGGTGGTTTTTCTTCTTTTTCTGCCCTTTTTTTTTTTTTTTTTTTTTTTGAGATGGGGAAGAAAAACCTAATTCCAGCTTCTTTCCTGCTCCGTAAAAACTTTCTGGTGCACAAAATCCCCGTGCAAAAAATAAAAAACACCACCTCAAAATATCAGCTCATGCTGTCTAGCTGGACACTGCTTTTCCTTGCTGCTTTTCCTTGATTTTTTGCTCTTTTTTGGCTGGGATATCCAGCCACAGCCAAGGACCAGGAAACCAGGCGTTGGGTGCGGGTGCAATTCAATCCCATTTCCCCCTCGCTCGGCCGAGGTCCCCAAAGAGTTTTGCCAAGTGGAAAAAGCCCAAACTGGCCCCGGGGCCAAGCCACCTGTTCCAGACCGTGGTGAAATAGCTGTTGGGGAGAGGTGAGGTGGAGATGCTGCTCCACGGCTCTGGAGAGGGCAGCAACCACTCAAATCAGCTCGCTTCTCTCCCAGCAACCGTGCCAGTCCTGCAAGAGCTTTCGGAGCTCTTCCCATTCTCCATCCAGCAGCTCGGGGCCAAACAGTGTCCCCAGGGCAGAGCAGGAGCTGCAGACAAGGAGGAGAAATTCAGCAATTTCTAAATTCATGCCCCAAGCCCCCCGTCCCGCTGGCAGGGGCTGCAACGCAGCTGCGACGGGGGAGGCTTTGGGGTGGGAGAAAAATCTTCGTGCTGTTAAGATCTTGCAAGCGAAAAATAAGTTCCAGGATCTAAATGTCTGATTTGGGGCTGAAAGAAGGAGAGTTTTGGGTCCCGAATCGCCTTCACATGAGCGTTGTGTGCCTAGGAAGGTTTTTCCTTCCCCATCCTACAGCGACGGCTTTGCTGGTGCTGCCGGAGTTGTGCCACGGCTGCTGCACATCATTCTCCTGGAAGTTAAGGGGACAGTTGTTGCCCGGGGGAGCTCTGTGGGGTTTTGTGTAGGGGCAAGTGAGACAAAGAAGTGGAAATTGAGCAAGTCATAGAATCATAGAATCACAGAATGGTTTGGGTTGGAAGGGACCTTCAAGATCATCCAGTTCCAACCCCCCTGCCATGGGCAGGGACACCCTCCACTACACCAGGTTGCTCAAAGCTGCCTGTAGGACCTGTCCCAGTCTCCCCTTCCAAGGGATGGAAAAGGGCAGCGTTAAGGGGATAAACCTTCCCCAGTCTGCAGGACAGCGAAGGGCAGAGTTCAGGTGACAGCAGTTTCAGGGACCGCGGCTCCATGGCAGAAGAGCAGGTCCAGGGTGACAGCTCCTGGGGACGAGTTTTTTGATTTGATTTTGGACCCATCTGAGGGCATCTCGTTCACCCAGCAGTCCCTCTTGCAGCGAGACACCGCCACCCTTCCCGGCGATAACCCCAAGACACAGACCTCCGCAGGGACTCACAGGAGCCATCCCGCTCTGCGAGAACTTCCATGGGGCTTCCCCCAGCCTCCTTGGCCCCTCCACGCTCCCATGGGAGACAACTTAGCAGCTCACAGCCTTAAACCAGCAGTGAAATCCCAGCCCCAGGCAGGGTCCCCGCACCCCTGGCGACTGTCCTCCCTCCAGGACTTGCCGTGCGACATGGTTGCCACAAGATGGGGCCCGAAGATTGGGAATGCCACCTCGGCTCCAAGCACTTGGAGGGGCTGTGCGCCCTCGGGGCTGGCGTTGGGGACACTTGACTCATCTCGACATGGGCAAGGACCTCCACTGGGGGATCTCTTGTGGCCTTTTAGGTGGCCTTTTTGAGCGGTCGGGTAGGTATAAAGGCAGATGGGTCCCTTCCCAGAGAGACAGGGAGGTTTTGCAGAGTAGGAGGGTTGTCCCGAGGTTTTCAGCCCTCCCAAGACCCAAATGTGACCATATTTCAAGCAGGGAGTGATGCTGCTGGACTAGGATTTTGGAGGTGCCCCCAGGTCCCCAGGCAGGGCTGTCCACAGCAGGGAATACACCCCAAATGTACCATCAGATGGGGCGGCCTGTCCTGCCTCCAGGGTGGAGGGGGGTCCTGGGGATGGAGCCATGGGGTAACAGGCAACTCCAGAGCACCCTAGATCAGGGCTGGAGAGAGGACATAGGGCCATCACACCGGATCACCCCTCCAACGCTGAGACGTACTCCACTCTCCATGTCCTTTTCACACCAAGTTGAGTAAGCTGCCAACTTCAGAGAATACAAAAACATCTCTGGTGGCTTCAGGCCAACCAGAGAGGAGCTGAAAGGAAAACCCATCTTTATAGCAGCTGGTGGTACACACGGTTACTCTGTGAAGGTGTTGCCAAGGTGCAGAGGGCTGCATGGGGACTGCAACAAGGCAGGTGGCATGGTAGAAACCAGCTCTCCTGCAGCAGGCACTTGTGTTTCAGCAAAGAGATGGCCAAATCCTCCCCTCCATGGAGGCTGCAGCCTTGCAAAGCACCTTGGCCATCCCACCTCCCACTCAGCACCCCAAAACTGAGGGCTGGAGGGTTGCAGCTTGGAGGAGGAGGCTCTGAAGCAACTCATTTCCACCTTCATCAACATTAGATGAGACCCGAGGGGGGAAACTGGGAGGGGAATCCAGGAGGATGGGATGCGGGAGGATGGAGGGATGATGGTGCTCTGCCCCGGGCGCCGCGGGAAGCTCATGTCCATCTCTGCCCTCCCCTCGCTCTCTCCACTGGGCAGGCCACTGCAATGCCCCACACCAGGCTGCTGCTCCTCCTCCGCCGCCGAGACCGGCCAGGCTCTCCGCCTCTACAACGCCGCCTCCATCTTCAGCTGCCTCAACGCAGCACTCGACGAAGCCCAGAAGAGCCGTCCAGAGGAAAACGCCGTCTTGGACAAGCGCGGCTTCGACTCCCCATCGCCAGAGGAGGCATCTGAGGAGGAGGAGAAGGAGGAAGCAACGGATGAAGACATGGGGAAAAGGACGTTCCCAGGGGAAGGCCATTACAAATACGTTTCCCAAGCACAGGTGAAGGGTAAGGCGTACCAAAACCGGGCCAAGAGCGACCGCCGCACCAAGGTCACCCTCTCCCTTGACGTCCCCACCAACATCATGAACATCCTCTTCAACATCGCCAAAGCCAAGAACTTGCGGGCGAAGGCCGCTGCCAACGCGCACCTCATGGCCCAAATCGGGCGGAGGAAGTGACCCCCGTGGGGCAGGGGAGACTCGGAGCAGAGCTGGCTGCGTGGGGCCACCACTGGCCCCAGCCTGCTGGCCAGAGGGGACTGATGGCCATGTACGATATCAGTGTTGTATATTTTTGACCCATAGAGCTACGTGACTTTCATATCTCTTCTTCCTCCTTCTCTCCTTCCCGACCTCCTCTGTCCCTCCTCCTGGACATTCCCACACATGGGGAAGAGGCTCGTGTTCGCAGCAGGGCAAGGAGACTTGTTGCCTCAGGAAGGTCCCTAATTAAAGCTACAATCTCTTGAGTTTCCAATGCTTTGTTCTCCCATCGCCTCCACCGGGTGCTCAGTTGGGTTTGTCAGGACCCGTAGCCTTTCCAAAACATCCCTCCAGCTCAACCTCACAGCCCTGTCCCCGCCATGGTGCAGACCCTACACCTTCTCTACATCCCCATACACAAGCTGTCCCTATGCACAGTCATCACTGCATTGGGAAGGAAAAAGCAAGACTGGTCAGGGAACAACAAGCGGGATTTCCCAGTTTCTCCTCCTGGGGACTCCAAGTTTTAAGATTGTCTTGCGACCACCCCTTTTCACACCAACACCTTCAGCAGTCACAGCCAGGACAGTATCACCCCTTCCCATCCACATGGCCTTTCATGAGGGTCTCTAGGCCATGGACTGGCCCCAATGAGGGCCACCTCATGGTCTCAGGTGAGTTTGGACCCCAAGAGTTGCAGGTGCCTCCCTGACTGCTCCAGACCCAACCCATGGGGTCTAACCATGTTGCCCAATCTACCCCTGCCCGTCTGTCTGCCGCTCTCCCTTTCCTGATAGACCTCTGTGCCAGCTGGTACAGCTTCAACTCCCCATACACAGATGGTCCCCGTTCATCCTGCTCTTTTCTACCCTCCACTCCCACCTCTTCACCTTGGGCTATTTATCCCTTCCTCTAAATCTCCCTTTCTCTTCACTTCTCAGCCCAGCTCCAAGATGAAACTGCATCTCTTGGCCTCCATCCCTGCATGTAGCAGGCATGGGAGGTGAAGAGAAATGTGGCCCTCCTTCCCCAGGAGACGTTTGCCAAGAACAGCAAAGCAGCTCCCACCAGCCCCATCCAGGGCATGGCCATGTGGAGCACTCCAGGTGGGACATAAAGAGGTAACAGGTCTTGGTTGAAAGGTTGGCAGATGGACTCAACAGCCATCTGCAGACATAGCTGGAGGCATCTCCTCTCCACCCCACTAGACACCCCTAGGTGGCAACACAGCCGAATTCAGCCCCAGTGAGCCCATGCTTGGGTGACCAAGGCTCCTAGCTGATCCACAGCCTGGGCACTCAGGACCCAAACTCAACTGAAGTCTGAAAAGCAAAACCAAAATAACACAACAGCGTCTTCCCCTCATAGCACACGTCTCCAGCAGACAACACACCAACACACCTGCAGCATCTCTGAGCAATGACCTCCTCCTGCCTCACCTCCAAGGGTGCAGAGATGAGCTCTTTCCTTGTTGCAACCTGACGTAGCTTTGGATTATATGACCCTTTCTCTACACTCTATATAGCTTTATACATTTTTACAGACCCTACACATC